TATTGATAATAATTCTAATAATTAATTACTGTTAATAATTTTATTTGCTGATAAATTGAATATGCCAGTTCTATTAAGTATTCAAGTATTCTCATCAATAAAGTCAAATTATAATAATCTTTGCAGCTTATTTTCGCCAGAGCTCTCTCTCTCTTTCTCTCTCTCTATTTTATTAAAATTGTTCTTTATAACCAGATCCCGGAAAATAACTGACCACTTACGGCTGTGAGTCGGAGCATAGTGTTCCGGAATAGCAATCAAATTTGAAGATTATTCTTTCTTCCTTCTGGCTTCTCCAGTTATCTAATTAGCTTTTAGAATTAAGCTTTTTACTGTTCTACTACTTTTAAGTCTAATAACGTGTAAGACCACATTTGGCTGTGAATTTGGCGGTTTACAAATGAAATTCTCCCAAAGTTTCGGAGATATTTTTGTACATTATTTTTGAAGCTTTCTTGTCTTTTGAGTTAAAACTATTAGATTATTATACTAAGTCATTTATGTACTATATTTATCGATAAAATACAAAATTTCGAAGAAAAAGGCAATAAAAATTTGCTAGTTGTTGTAATAGTTTTAAAATATCCAACGGGTAAAAAAGTATATAAAAGGAGTGTCATACTCCCCAAAATTTTTTATCAGGAGTTCGAGATGATTTCATGTTAAAAGTATAAGAAGTAGAATAAATGTATCTGTGTAACAAAGATTGGTATTAACTTTTGCAAATTTAATTGTGTCCCCTTCAATAATACTGTAACTTATTTCTAATGATATGATATCCTTTCAAAGATTAGAATCTGTCTACCACAATTTGAAATAACCAGTGGGAGGGCACGCCATTTGGCAGATTGGCATACATATAATGCAATGGGGAATATGACCATTTCAGGAAAGCATTTGATTTAAGAATATTTCAGAAATAAAAATTAGGGCAATAGAAACTACAATTCTGCAACAAATCAAAATCAAAACAATTCATTCATACACTAATATTTAACTTAAGGCAATTTGTAATGACAAACGTCACGACATGATTTCAGTGTTTGCAGGTATCTTGCGGGCTGTCATGGTTCTGATCATAAAGAATCATCTCATCGTTTGAGGTTCTGGCTATTCTGTTAAGTTGCCTGACGTCGACAAGTGTCTAGTCCATAAAAAACAATAAACAAAAAATGCCACAAAACGTAAGTATATCTGTGGTTCAGCCTTGCGTTTTGCCCACTGCCAGCAAGATTGATTTCCTGAAATTCACAAATCGACGAAATGTTAACCGATATGGACAAAAACCTTGAGACACGCAACGTCGTCGCCATTCTCGTCGGAAGCCAGACTTCGATGATGATGCTGAGTAGTCCGGCACCGAAATGCTGTAGAGTCCATGTCTTCGGGTGGCGGCTATCATAGCCTGCGTGGTGTAACCCCCGCTAGCGAAATGCAAAAACAAATTGTTTGTGGGTCAGCGCGAGTAAAACATTCTTTTTTTTTTTTTTTGCCGAGGCGGGCTAACAAGCGGCAATGCCACAAGTCCATGGCAACATTATGCAGAACGAAGGCGTTGCACGATTTTCGTTTTTATATGTACTCTTACCACAGGCAGACCACAATGTTTAAAACACAAAAAAGGAATCATCTTTGAGAAGAAAAATTTCATTAATTAATATTTAATATTATTTCTTATTCGGAATATTTAAATATTTGAATAATATGTACATACTTTTAATACTCCCAGTTTAAGAATAAAATTGATTTTTTAAATATTTTCAGAGTTAGGTAATGATTTGTTTGTTGATCTAAGCCGAAAGGCAAATAATATTCCCCCACCAAGTCGGAGGCCTTAATTAGATATTATTGCAATTTGAATAGATTTCTCCTTCTTAGGTATTTCTAGCTTTTAAGATGCTTTTTATAATTTTTTCTCCTATATCCACAGTGATATGTTTGTTGACATTAATAAATAAATAAAAAAAAAGAACAGAACTGATGTCGCTTGAATTAACTATATTTCTCAAACTTTGCTGAGCCAATAATCCCTAAAAATAATTAGTACATTCTTTTTACAATCATCAATTAAAAAAAAAGAAACAAAAATAAATTGAAAACATACGAGTATGAATGAAGAATCAGAAAGAGCATCTGGACTTCGACAGAGGTGTGGATATTCTTCTTGCTTTAGTATTTATTTTCGTTATGTTTTTACAGAACCGCTACAAGCAAAAGCACGCAAAGAAGTGAACACCTACCCGCAAGTTTGCCAGAATTCAAGGAAAACGTACGGACGCTGACCATGAGATGAACGGCATGGGTATGGGTTCGAGGATGTGGATGGCCGCAGGCGAGGAGCCTGGCAAGATGTTCCGCAGTAGCTGGAGTGGAGCTCTGACTGGCTGCATGGCTGACTGGCTAGCACACGGAAGCCTAATGGCGCATTAACGATGTGCCCGGCCCGGGCCGGCCCGTCCTGGCCTGGCCTGGCCTGGCATGTGATTTGTGTTTTGGGGCTGGTCGACTTTTCTGTTTCCATGGAAAACGTTTGGCCAAGCGCGAAAACTTGCATTGTTCCACTCTCTGTTTATAGGAATGACAAAGCGTTGCAGCTAGTCTACCTAGGCCAGATTCGAGCAGCAACTGCAGTGCAAATGGGGCACATTACAACAGCAACAAAGGCTGCAGCAGCAGCATGCTAATTTATGAAGTAGCAACTGCCAGCGACATGGATGCGGTAATTATAGCTTGGCAACATGTTTCCAAAACCCGAAGAACAACGCGCAACGCGAGTGAATGAGAAGAAAGCCAGTTAGGGAGCAAGGTTGCCATGTTGCACAGAAGCTGTTCTACTGCTGACGTCGCTTTTCTTGCTGATGCTGTTGCTGTTCTGGACTGTTGCTGCCGTTGCTGCTGCTGCTGCTTTGTGGACTGTTGCTGCATCAGGTGCAGCTTTACCGCGCCCGCGCCCACTTTGTTAGTCGAAAAAAAGGTCCTACCCCGTGGCGATTCGACAGTTGATGGCCATGGTTGCTGTTGCCTTAGCCGTTGCTGCTGCTGCTGCTGATGCTGCTGCAACATTTTCACAGCAGCAACAACATAGTTTACACACCTACCGCTCGCTGGCTGACTGCCTGGCGGCCTCTCTCAGCCTGCAACATACATTTAACTGGTAGCCGCAATGCACTTTATAATACAAAACATGGCCACGGCAGTTGCCTGAAATCTCTGGCGCGCCCGTCGCTTCTTGATAGATGCAACTTTTGGCTGCGGGCGCATTGCAGCATGGGGCGTTGCTGTCTCTGCCGTCACTGGTGCTGCTGCTTCATTTATAAACCTAGGCCGACAATTGAAGCTTAGTGTTCTTTGTAGTTGAAGCTGCTGTTGCGGCATCTTTCCGTTAGTTGGTTGCTCATTGTGGGCTGTGAATAATTTGCATACGTACTCTTCTGGGTCACACATACGAGATTGATGTGCCTAACCCAGTTAACCCTGTTCATGCACAATCTGTCGGCTTCTGTGCTAGTTAGGATTAACTGAATGCCGAAAAACTAGTCCTTCATGAAATTAATTAACTGAGGGCATGTGGAGATCTGCAAATGTTCTTCAATACAAAAATTACATGAAGCAGAAAACTACTATTGCAAATGTGCTTTTTGTTTTCATTTCCTACAAAATAGTAGCATTCATAAAAATAATCGAAAAATATAGATGGCCGTACTTTTAGGTAGTATATCAAAAAATAAGAATTCCTATTTATTTAATTACCTATACAATATAAATAAATATCTAATTGTTTAGGCAGTATATATAGAATTATCTTTTTGTTTTTAAATAATAATAATATTTGTTTGTAGTTATATTTAGTCTGTTAGAAATACATACATACATTTTCTTTCTTGATAGTTTCTATATACATAACTATAACTACAACTACATACAATTTTACAAACGCGATTAACAATAAAGGACAATTAAGAAATGAATGATGACTGGAAGTTTTTTTTTTTTTTTTTTTTTATATTATATTATGTTCAAAGTGATTTCAATAACAAGAGACAAAAATAACTTTTGCGGTTTCTACATAAAATCCCTTTCAAGCTATCAACCTTACAGAGCACTATAACTAATCCCGGCGCTAGGCTCATTGTCTGTCTGTCAGTTTCGAAAAGGGCTAATCCCGACAGCGCCTGCAGTGTCAAGTGCATTGTTCTAGTTGCGACCCTCTAAATTAGAGCAAAGCAATGCCGGCTCATTAACAAAACGCTGCCCAGCAGGTTGTCCACTGTCGGGGCCGATCTACTATATATAGTGTAGTAGGTATGCAAGTCCCCTGACCCGCCGAGGTGTGTGCGATGCCATAATATAATTAGTGCAGTGCCGTCTGGTAGACATTTTAAACCTTTTTTGCAATGTTCATTTTGATGAAAGTCTTACATGCGAAATTTGCATTCGTTGCGCAGCGCCCATCCAAGGGTGAAAAGAGAGTAATAGTCTACGAGTATGTTTGTGGATTTAAAACAATGCGTTGACAATTAAAATTAGTGCATATCCTGGGCCCGGCAAGTGTGAAAGTCAGTCGAGGAGTGGACTTTATGGGTGTTGTTCGCATACATGTATATTGACAGGTATACAAAGACAGAATTCTGAAAAAGTGGCAGCAGAAATTAAAAGCGCAGCCGCCTCTCATCATCATCAATGGCAGCAACATGGACGGCGGCAGCAACGGCAGACACAGACTTTAAAGACGCCGATGCTGACGCCGACTGTGGCGCCGTTGTGAAAGACAATATAAATCATATCATTCATGCCGACCAGCGAGCACACAAAAGGGCCCAAAAAATAACAAAAATACAACAAAAGAGCGGGCGGCATCCTATCCTGAATGCAGGCTCCTTAATAATTTATTTTACGATCATCGCCACTTCAATATATTTGAACGCCTTTCTGGACTAACAAAATCAAACGAGCTTTGTGTTTTTAGACTAACAAAATTTATACATTCGAAGCGGTCATCTGGAACTTTCAATTCCACATCATCTTCCCAGTCCAGATGCAGCTGTTCAGGGCTACTAGACTGACATTATGGCTGCTGCTACTTGGCGTACAGTTGACCTCTTCCGGAACCCACTTGCTGATCCCAGCGCCATGTCAATGCTATCCCTTTGAAATCTATGTGGCCATGGATAGAACGAATGCTGTCAATCAGTTGGAGCCATACACAATGCTCCAAAATCCAAATGGCCCACAAATACGCCTCATGCAGAGCATCACGGCCCAGCGATTGCAACTCCGCTGGTGGTTTGTGCTGCTCGAGACTGTTTTTCTGTATATTGTGATGCATTTGCTGCAATTGTGAAACATTTCTTGGGGGGGAATTGCATAAGAACCGAACCCCATCTTAAGTGTTTTTAGCTTGTAATTGTGAATTGTGTAAATTATGTAAACAAAAACTAACTACCAACTACTGTTGTATATTGTCACACACACTGAGCGCATAAATCACAACGAAAATTTAAATTTGTCGCGCTTTTTGGCGGCACATGATAATTTGTTCAAATCATTTTCCACTCCGAAAGTGTGGGGCGGATTGGAGGACAACGGGTGCTGATTCTAATTAAATTGTTCAAATGTTAACAAGCTTTTATACCCTACCTTTACAGAAATTTATGAAAGGGCACATTACTTTCGTAACACAATTTTCTGCATTCTCAAATAAAACCATGACGGTCTGTCAAGGGGCAAGGGGCTCAGTCCGTGCGTGTGGCCACAATAATTCAGGAATATATGAATTTGTTATCTTAAACTATAAATGATGGTATTTAAAAATATTTCCTTACTATTAACAAGGACTTATGCTTTTCTTTTGGCGCAAATTAGTTAGATTTCTGACTGCAGCTTAAGCGGATCCGCAGAACTATTTACTAACTATGAAAAAGCCCAAAACCTTTTTATTTTGTATATTTCTTACACAAGTTTTTAACATATTCGATATTTTAGAAAACTAGCAGTTAAAAGCGTGTTCATTACAGGCATCAACAGCCTTTGTATCCTTTAAGATATTTTCAGACAAAGTATATAGTTTGCTTTATTGATCACCAGTCCAGAACGGGTGCAGGGTAACCCAGAGTCTCCATAATGCATGGCGACTATAGAGCTATAGTACATATTGCTTAGTTTATTTTTGTTCCATGATGCGGGCAGGGCGCCCTGCGAATCGGTAAAAAACGCTGACAAATGTTTCCGTCAAAACAAATTTTGACAACCGCTGCTTAAGCATTTCACCTGTATGGCACCATGGAGCACCAAATGGGCACAGTGGTTAAAGATATAATTGTTGAAACAATAAACGAGCTAAAAAGATATCTCCGTCTACGAAAAATTCTAAAAACTCTCCAGGTATAATACATTTGAAAGATCACTCATATAGCTACTTAGTTGTTGGGAGATGTAAAGAAATAATTTAAATCTAATCACAATTTCAATCTGAGTAACGATTTCTTATCGTTGGAATCGACTTCTTTTTCCAGTCTTTAAATTGATGTTGTGTTACAAAATCTGCGAGCAGAAATTGTTGAAAATTCAACCATGGGAAAATGGTTAGAACTATGAGTATTAGGATACCTATTATTATGTTTATTCCGAAGTCTGGTATTTTAGAATTATCTACTTAACAAGCAACATTTATAAGTAGTAGAAGAAGAAGTAATATAATGAAAATAAATAATTGAAATTTAAAATTCAACTTTTCACATATAAATGACATTATATATCTCAGCTACTTTGTACCACTGTGAAGTGCTTTTAGGTGCCAGTGCCATTGTCTTTGGCGTTTGTTTTTATAGCCGGTGGTAAACTTTGTCATAGTGCCCTCCCGCGCGAGCAATTGCTCGTATACTCGTATATAATTCCAAATTAAATTTTGGCCCCAGCAAGAGGCTTAACCACTGAGTAAAACTACAACATAATTTAAAATGAATTAAAAGCGCAGCCGGTCGAAACCTCCAACTGCAGACTGTCGGCCCAACAGCCGCGAATCCCGCCACACTCGTTTAAGTCAGACAACGGACGCTTTCAATCGAAAATAGCAACAAGTTAATTTGAGTGCCTCCCCTCCGAACTGAAAAAAGTGTAATTTTTTCAACTCCGGTCGTATATGTATTTTTAAAAGTCATTAGAAAAAATTTGAGGCAACCAATTTGAATATTTGATGGCACAGCAACAACAATAACAGCACAAACTCTACAGCTACGGCCGTGCAACGCACGTTGGTTAATTTAAGGTGATAATTGCTTTTTAATGTGACACAACTAAATTTTTCGCTGAGTTTTGTTGGTGTGCCGGAAGTTTTTCTGTGCGCATGTGCAGCCAAGAGGCGCACAGGCACTTGTTATGTGGATGGGCAGACAACAGCGACAATAACAACAACAACAACAACAACTACTACTACTACAAAAAGTGTCAACAATTATTTTCAAATTTCAAAACATTTCATTTTGCCTGGTCGTCTGGTCCGTCTGACCTGTTTGGGCTGTGTTTTTCCTTTTGTGCGGCTGTACAATACAAATTTTTGATGGCTTTTTGGTGACGCTGCTTAAATAGTTTTCCGAGTGTGAAATTGACGGATGAACACATTGGTCGAGTGCCTGCTTCAAGTGAGCGTAGAAAGTTGGAGAGGGGGATCTCTCCCCCATCAATTTTTTGGCTGTGCAGCTAGACCTAAGCATTCTCCTTATGTCCATTCAACTTGGCCACAAATTTCGTTGTTTTATTTTTATCATTTTACAATTTTTTCAAAAAGTAATTTAGATTGGAAACTTGAAACTTTTTTACATAAATTTCTCTCCCTTAAATAATTCCTTGAGAAATATTATCATTGTGTCAAAAACATTTTTCTTAATGGTTTTTATTGTTCCTATATTGCTTTAGTTCTCAAAGAAAAAATTTTGTAAACAATTTTCGAATATTTAAATGCTTAATGCCTTCGATTTGGCAATTCATTTTTGTAATTTTAGTTTATCATTACATTTTAAAGTATCTCAACGCCTGATTGATGCTGATACTCGTATTAGCTACAGAGCATATTTAGGAGTGCTTCTAAATATAAGCTTTGGTTGCACTTAGCCCCAAATTACTCCTAATCGACTGTTATGGCAAATAAGTTCGAATTATTAAGCCCCTATTGTCCAGGATAACGACTAAAGATACAGAATTCTATTAGAATATCCACAAACGACACATAACACCCCTGAATCGCACATCGAATACTCAAACATTGGTTTAAAAAAATATTTTTATTCTTACAACATTACTGGACTAAAGTTACTTTTGATGTTGCTAATAGATTATAATGCGATTGCATGGTTTTAATGCGATGTCGGCTTAGATTGCCACCGGATATGCATGCAATTAAAAAAAATTGTATGCCTGAAGCCGATGTTCGTTGTCTAAGTCTTTTGTATGGCTAGGCCACATCAATAAAGCCATCAATTCATATGCGTCGGATTGTTTTTCAAACTTCAAACCAGTTGGCACACAGTAGCTGAAATCTCAATTGATTTTTTACTGTTTTCCTTGTGTGTGTGTGTTTTTTTTTTTTGGCTAATTGGCGCCGCTGGAATTCGCAAATTGTGGTTGGCTCACTCGCACGCCCGTGCAATCGAATCGCCCGATACTGCAATTCATGCTCCGTGCCAAAGTCACGCGTTGCGCTTTGAATTCCTGGAATGATCAAGTAGCTGGCATAGTCATGGCAGTCTTGGAAGTCATAGTGGTAAATAATCGCCGCGTAGTCGTGTGTCACAAGCAACAGCTGTTGCGGTTGCTTCAATGAATACATCAACAATGCGCCGACGCTGTTGGATTCAATTTATTGGCTGCAGCAGTGATGGCAACGTGGCTGCCAATTAACGCGCACAACGCCACTTGGTCAGGATGCTCGCAGCACAAACGCCACCAGCGTAGACAGTTGAAAGAGGCCGCCACCATTTCGGTTGTAGTGGCAGTCACAAAACACTTGGAAAAAATTATAATAATTTATGGAAACCTTTCAAAAACTATTGCTAGTAAAGATTGTTCTTTCTCTTGTGCATATCAGCAAGAACTAAACAAAGTGAGGGGGGGGATTTGGGTGTAATATCATAAAGGGAGTTCTCTAATTATTAAGAAATATTATTTACATATAATCTTATTTATATGCACATTGAATAGAAACTTTACAACTATTTTAGTCAATTGTGTTATTGTTATTATGACATGTTGAAGCCTGAACTAAATAAATATCTGTATAGCCTTGTGCTCATAAATACTCTCATATATAGTACACACCCTTACATATATATATCTATTTGATCAGCATTATGAGATGAATCGATATTGTCACTATAATGTGCAATCAAGCCTCTCAGTGGGCTTCTCCTTTCCCCTATTGGCAGATCATTTGTGAATCCCGACCGAATGGGACCACTATCCTAAGGCTGTCATAGAAAGAATCGACAGCTTTAATACGTATTAATATTTATTAAATTTTACAATATAAATTTGAATTCAAATTACTCTAGTCACGTACCTATCTAAAAAAACAACATGGCTTTAAAAAGTACTACGAAAATTTTGTTTATTTTCGGAAGCATAATTTGTTTTTTTTTTTATCATATTTGTTATTTAAAAGCAGAGAAGTATATTTTTTTGAATATATTAGCTTGCTCACATTAATTTAACTTGTTCAGAAGTACTTATTTTATTCATATATAAAAATATTTAATTGTGCATTTATTTTTTCTAATTTGAACTGTATCATATTATATACAAGTATGTTTGAGTTCTTTCAATCATTTGATTACCTACAACAAGAATATGAAAACTGTGAACAGGACTTTTGTAGAGGTATGGCGGCAATACGCTTCGCATTCAGTCGAATCCTAACAAGCTGTGCATTTTTAGTGGCAGCCAAACGTCAGCCAGTCAGTTATTCTTTAAGTTTGGGTCCATAATATAATTTAATTAATGCATTCAATGTCCTTTTTTAGAGAAGCTTTTTAAAAATAGAATTTTCTCATTTTTTCTGAGTGCAATGGCAGGCTCTGTATTGTACGAGCATACGATGAAGTCGTCTTGATGGCGCTGACTGTTGCCGTCGTTACTCTGCAGCAGTCGTAAAGTCTGATTTATTTCGAATTAAATGTCAATACATACAAACAAACACACAGCCAGCAGCCACTTCCAAGCAGACAACTCCAAGAGAGCCGACTCGCTAATGCCAGGCCACGGGCGGTCCGGTCCGCTCCACTCCGCTGCTACTCTGCACTGCTTCCCTGACCCAATTTGGCGCCTGCTGTGGCACTTTCATTAGCCTGCTCGTACATCATAAACAAATTCATAAAAGCTGGAAGGATGCAAAGCGCGCGCATTCATAAAATTTATGGCGTTGAAAGGCGCATCGAATGGATTTTTGAGGTTTTTCTCATCGAGCTAAATGAATAGTATGCTACATATATGTTCGTAGTACTCGCAGAGATAGT